TTTGGTTGTACAATATACTTTTCTGGTCGTACAATATACTTTTTGGTCGTACAATATACTTTTCTGGTCGTACTTTTCTGGCTTCGTCGGCTTCTATATAAGAATGCAACTTGTTATACTTACTATAAACCAGGCAAGGCGGCCACATATAAACGAACACAAATTTTATCCAGTAATGCATATGATGAGGAGAATAATATAAATGAGAGTGTGTGACGAATCGATGTTGAACATCTGTTAAGTGAGAAATTGAAGTTTTTTTTTTATGGAACATTAAGTTGGATTGGTTTAAATGGAGCCTCACCAAATTGAGCAAAATTAATCAGAAATTGCAAACTGCAATGAAACACTACAAAACCTAATTTTTTTATAAAAATGTGCATTACTGTCTATTATTCGTGGTGTTAACTGTTTTAGATAAACATAATTTTCGTTTCAAGAAAACCTGCACAAAAAAATTTTTTTTTAACCAAAGTTTGCAACACTTTCTTTTTACATCATTTCGACCAACTGAACCAATCTACAATTACACTTAAATTATCAAATTTAACTATTACGGTCGCAGTTGTTTTGTTATGTTTTATATACATATCTTGCTTATAATTACTACTGTTTATTATCTGAACATATAAGCCACAAATTTGGTGGGTTAATCCATACCCAAAAAAAGAAAAAATACCGACTCTCCATCACCCAAAAAACATAAAGTGATCTCTTTGTTTGATAATTCGGTTTTTAAGGGCATTTGATTAGATTTCGGCGTGCACGAAGCCATAGCTAAAGAATGCAATGGAAAAGTACCCAAAAGCGATGTCTCTAATAATTTTGGTTGCTCTCAATTTTTATCCATTGTAAACAGAAAAACATTCTTTTCTCGCGGATGTCCCTTCGTTTTTCAAATTAAAAATCATTACAGAATTTCGGTTACAAAAAGCCTAACAAACGATACTATCGGAAAAATTTCTATATTTCACGTTACTGGTGTATAAGTCCCTCAATTTACAGGCATTATCCATTCTTCTTTTACAAACCAAAAAAAAATTATCAAAAGTGACCAAGTGGGCGTATAGATGTGTTCCATGTTTTCGATGATATAATTATTCTTTTCAATCCATTTTCCAAAACAACTCTTCAGATCTGTAAAGAAATTAATGGAATATTAAATTCAGTATTCTTGGTATTCAGAGATTTCGCTTCACGGGATATTTTTTAAAGTGGTCCCGAGGTATTTGCATTTATTGAAAGCAACTCTGTGCTCTTTTCTTTGTAAACAAAAGTGTATATTTTTATAAACCTTGTACTACTACTACTACTGTATCCGTACTGAGTCCTCCTTGTTTTAATTTATGTGTTGAGAGATTTGTGTAGGCAAATCTCAAAATCGACACCATTATAAATCTAAATTCGACACTATTTCATCTCGTCTCAAGTCACTCCAAGTCACACTTTCAGTTAATAACACCAAATGCATGATCTTTTCAAAAAAAGGAAAAACCCTACGGTTATTCCGCTTCTCACATATTGAAAGTTTTGAGTGAGGCTTGCACTATAGGGTTGAAAAAATTGTTTGATTACCTTAGAATTTCTCGAAGAGCAGCATAAATACGAGAGTCTTTAAATTGATAATAGCGTTTCTTTCATACTGGAACTTTCCCTGTAGTTTAATTTATTATGTCTTTTTTATCTCGGAGAGAGGAGAGTAATATGTGAACTTTTAACGAACGACCAAATAGTGCTGCTATGGAGGTAAATATCTTTTATATTACGGCATTGGCCTGTTAAGTGTTAAATTTTTCGTGCAATGTCTACGTATGGTTTAACTAAATTTGAGGATATTGAATTGTTATTACAATATCAAATGGTTGAATGATGTTTGTATATAAGTTCAGATTGTTTCTAGCAACTTTAAAGTTTCAAGAAAATTGAGGAAGTGAACATCTTTGTTATAAGTAAAGCTTACAGTGTGTAAGCGAAGTATACATATATATATTTATTGCACATTTATTTAAATTTATTTACTAAAATCATATAAAAATATAAATTAAAAGTAGAAAATAAGACCGAAAATTACATTAATGCTTAGAAATTAGAAAAACATAAAAGCAGATGTGTTCAATACATTTCATTCCTCATCACAAAATCAAAGACAAAGTTTATATGAAGTAAACTTAGGAGCAAAAAGCATATTGTTGTTTGAAGACGATATTTTATTAAACGAATAACATTAAACGATTACTTTTGAGCACCTTGCGCAAATTTTGCTAACTAATAACCGTTACTCGTGTAAAGGTTTTATACGTTTGGGTTTTGGTAATGGATTCCAATCTAAATTTGAGGATATTGGTGACGACTCTCTACAGTCGTAAACTTCTTTCGTTACAGTACACTTTTGAAAAATCTCATTGTTATCCAACTTTTGAGCGTCTCTCTGCACCTGTTCGTTTATAGCAGCCTTTGTTGAGCTACGCATGCAACCGATTTCTTCTACCATTCGTTTAATATCACGTTCTCTTTCATCCAATATTTTAAGATTTTCTTGAAGGTCATTGGCATTGGATTCTTGGTTAATTTTAATCAAGCTTTCGCTGACGCTGTCTACGTGATGGTCAGGCCATACCGGAAAATCTTTATTAGCTGCCTGATGCAGCAAACGTTGACTACGATTAATAGACGCTATTATTTCCTTGACCGACTTCCTTTTCTCGAGCGGTATATTTGTTTCCAGAGTAGCCAAACTTGATTTTTTCCATTCTAAGAGAGACGACGGTTTCGACCGATACAAAGCATCAAATTCTTCTCTTTCTGCATCAAGACTATTTTTCCTTTGCGGCTCCCCCTGCTCGATATTTTCTTTTATTTTTGTAGTAGAATTTTCAACAATTTTTAAATCACTACCCAAAGTCACCGTTGCGCCCATTATGGCATCCGGGCGCTGAAGTTCATTTGGGTGATTTTGTTGACAATGGTCATTTGGAAGCATATTTACGCTTTCTTCAGCAATTTTCTTGGCCTCACGACTTCTTCTGCTGGGTTTACGAATTTCAGCAAAGCCTACTTCTGCTAATGGTTTAGGCGAAAGTGGGGGTTTAACTTTCTCATCATTTTTATCGCTTACCCTATGGTTCAATTCACATTCATCTGTTTTGCTGGATTTACGCGATACATTTGATTTTGGGGATATTTCAGGTCTGGATGTTACTTGATTCTCACTTTTAGCGTTTAGGTTCTCAGGAGATAAGTTTCCTAGATCTTTACGAGTTATTGGAGGACTAACTAACGTGAAAGAAGTTTTTGCCGTAATTTTTTCTTGATCGCGCACGTTATTGGTTTTCGTTTTAAAGCTCGTAAGGCTACAGGGGTGGTTGTGCCGTGTTATCGACCGGGGACTTTCCATGTGCACATGAATACATTCAACTTGACCCAATTCGCTCTCTGTTTTAGACTTACGCCTCATTGGTATGGGTTTCACTAAATTATCTTCGCAATCTATTTCAATTTCTTGCGTTGCTATATATGGATCTACATCAATTTTCTTTGGTATTGCTCCGTTGGCTATATTCGTTGCTTTGTTCTTTGTTATCGCTATTGGCTGCGTCTGAACTGAATTCATAAGAATTTGATTTGCTTCTTTGGTTACTACATTTTTTGGTTTGGAAATATTCTTGTTTGAAATTTTAAGCTCTTCAGCTGCATGATATTGTTTGAATACCAGTTCATCTTCGTGCGCTATATTCGTTGAAATTGCTGTCATTGTTGGAATTTCTGCTCTTGTTTCTTTAATCTTGAGCGAAGCAATTTGTTCTTTGCTAACATTTCCCTCATTTTCTTTGTTCTTTTTACTTTCTTTGTGTGCTACGTTACTATTCGTTGCCTTTGTTATTGTTAAACATTCTGCATTTGTCTCCTTAATTTGGAGCCGTGCAACACCTTCCTTGCTTGCACTTTCCTCGTTCGCTTTCTCTTTATTTGTGGAATTTAATTTAACTTCGTATTCTGCAATGTTATAATTGTTGTTATTTTCTTCATAGGAGTCAACAAAGAAGTCGGCTTCCGGTTTATTAATCTCTAATTTTTTCTCTTCTATATCGTCATTATTTTTGATTTGGACAAATGTTTGAATCTCAGCCGTTAAATTTGCTATATCGTTCTGCTCCCTTATGCATAACTCGTTTTGAGTTTGTTCTTGACTAGATTCATTCAACATATTAAGTGTCGCAATGTCTTTCACATTCATTTGAAACTAAAATAAAAAGAATACTTTAATTAATTCAAATATTCCATAATTTTTCATTAACAAAACACTGGTTAAACAGTGGTTCTTCCGTTGCTCTTCTACTTTCTAGCTTCTTGTAGTTTTTTTTTTCTCTTGTAAAAAGTATATGTATGTAACTATTGGACAAGTAAGGAAATTTGAAGTAGTTTTAGCTGTATCTGTCCGTGTGTCCATTTAATTTTAGCACTCTAAAAGACGTAAAAAGTTATATGGAGGTC